TTTTCCCAATATAATATAGACAGTACGATGGGAAATATGGAAGAAGAAAAAGTAAAATGTTTACTATGTCGCCTCTACACTATATCCATCTCTTATTAAACTAATTAATTCACACTATCTTAAAGAAAAAAAGCGTTTTAGAGATCATAATCATAGACAAAAGAGCATTAAATTTACAAAAATGAAAGCCGGTTAAATCGAGCACTATTTACGAGATGTTGAAATGAATTCAGTTTTATTTTAATAAGTTGGCGGAAGTAATTAAATATGCACTATGCATAGGCAGTACATAACAGTAAAAAGAAGATTCAATTTTTCTTCTTTTATGTTCCGCTGATTAATTGAATTAATTAATAAAAAGGACGGTAATAGTTTTGATCTCGGAAAAATTACAGAATAGATAAAACTTGTATAAAAAACGCACAAAAGATTTCGATTTCCTTTGCCGACCTTCTCACTTTCATTTCGTCACCTCCCGCATCGACTTTGATCTTATTCAAATTTTTATATACGGAATCCATTGTGTATTTTCACCGGGATCTTTTCTGATTTTATTCTAATGAAAAGCTAGTACTCAATAAATCTATTTATTAGTTCTCTTTTAACACATCTCGAAAATAGTGCTCGATTTAATGCTCGGCTTTCACTTTTGCAAATTTAGTGCTCCTTTGTCTACTATTATGTTCTCCAAAAAACTATCTTTCATTTTGAAAGTTGAAATTATTAATCGGGTTAGAAAACATCAAAAAATAATTGAAAAAAAAGGCATTAGATCAGAAATGGTACAGTATCAACAATAAAAATGACATCTGTTAGTGACAATAAAGTTAATATTAGCATGCCATGTGGCACAGTGCAAGAAAAAATGGCATGATGAAGATTTTCTCGAAAAACTGATAGCATATTCATAATTAGAAAATAAAATTGCGTCGAGTGCTGTATTGTACCAGCGTTTGAAGCATAAATTTCTCCATGCATTGCCTTGCTACAATTTCTTGTAACCTACGCATCTGAAAAACCAAAATCATAGGAAATGAAGTCCCTGAAGTAGACTGAGGAATTTTTTGTAAACAACTTCATCCTATAGAACAAGCGTTTCTGATCAAAATGAGACATCTCTGAGTTCTCCACGTCTTGGTTTCGTGAAACTCCATTCAATTGACTTAAAGCCCCCTGAAAATCGGGAATATTCTTTGTCAAACAAGACGGAGTTACACTTGAAATTTCTCTTTATGCATGTATGATACTATGTTTAATTGTGCCTACCTCCTTTTTCTACTTGTGTTTTCAGAGATAAATAGAACTTATATTTAGTTAAAAATAATTATTATTTTTCAGTGTCACCCCATATATATGGATGGATGCGAACGTGTTTTTTTCTGCTGTTATAGAGAAAACGGCAGAACTAATTAAGAATAATTGCATATAGTATAATAGGGTTTGATTGGAACAGTAAGATATCTAGTTATTTTCTCTTACACATAGACAGCGGAACAATGAAAAAAAAGAGTGAACGAGAAAAAAAAGAAAATTAATTTTTTTGCCAGTTTCATAGTGGAAAACTTTCTCATATTACACTTGTCATTATAACACACACAAACACAAAATATTTCCAGTTAAGTGGATGATGTACTACCCACTTCACAATTGAGTGACCACAGATATATTTTTAATAAATCATAACTAAAAAGTAGGAAAAACATGCGAATTTTCATCATCTTGTAGTAAAAACTATAGGCTATCCATCTAGATATGCGGGTTTGAGAAGTTCAGATTTCCATATGGTATATATGATAAGTGGAAAAAGAAGAGATCGTTAGATACCGAAACTAAAATAAATATTCAACTCAAATTTCGTACTATAAGTAAAATTTCTTATAATACGATTTTGGTATGGGTCTGATTATATCGGTCAGATATTTCGTACGAAATCATGCAGTATGATTCGGACAAAATCGTTTGGTAAAAATCGTACGTGGTCGTGTCGTACGATTTCATATGATTTGAGTCGAAATCGTACCCTTTAGATCATTTTTTTGCTTTTGTAGCGATTTATACTTGAAATGTTAAAAAAAGCTCAATTTTGAATTAAAATGACTTGTTTAGCGTTGCTGCAAGAAATTCACTTTAATTTCATAGCACTTTCACGCTTCATCTTCATAGTACTAGCTGCTTAGTAGCACCATCGATTATCCTCTCGATGTTGTGCAATGCTCAACTCATTTATTTGCTTTTGATCTTTCTTTAAATTAAATAACACAGTTCTAGTATGACATTCAGAATTCAGAAGAAAGCAGCGTTGATTCAGAAGATTAGAGACAGAAGAAAGCCTTTTCTTTTACTACCAGAACGTTTTTAACTTGAGTGCTATGTTTATTGGAATTTAGTTAGTTTGATGTCAAGATTAGCGCTCGAAGCTTCGCGTAAGCGTACTTTCGAAAGTCGGGTTGGGGTGAGGCAGAGCTGTGCGGATCTATAACAGCGTATAAAAGAGAAAATCTTTTGCTGAAGAATTCTCCAAAAAATGTGTCTTAAGACACATTTTTTCAGACTTACTCTTGAAAGGACCGCTTCTCTTACTCTTTTTCCAGTTCTCCATAATTTTTGTTTATATTTCATCTCAATTCACATGTCTTTTCTAATGATCTGTTTGTTGATTTTTCTTTTTAAGAAATTTATGTTATTTTTATTTTTAAATTCCTTTTTCCTGTTTTGATGTGATTGATCCACTGAACTGAAATATTTTTACCGTTTTTTCAACCCAGCGGTTTAACTCTTTTTTTAAACCTTTTATATCTCCCATACATGAGATTAAAAGACATAAAAAGAAACGAATTAAGAAGATTCACATGCGATAAAAACGCACAAGAAAAGCAAAAGCAGACTAACGAGAGAAACCAGCAAAAAACAGTCAGAATCATGTATCATTCGTACGTAAGATCTCATAGGATCAGATCAGACTGTGCAATATCGTGCGTATGATCGTTGTACAAAACGTATAGTTTAGACCCTAAGATTTTTCAGGACCATGATTCGGACAGCGATCATGCCGTGTCGTAAGTATGAATTTGTACGATTATTCAAGATCATACCGGTTCGTGTACGATCATACGATACAATCGCATCTGATCATATTCGATCTTGTACGATCCGCTCGTACGATTCTTCGACCTGGGTAATGATTAGATTTAAGGTGTATTACGATGAAAATATCGCTTAAGTCCCCATCTATCAGACAGCTTTCTCAGTAAATATAACTCAAATCGAAACGAATTTTTAGAGAATATTAGTATTCATTTATTATTATTAATTATATTTATTAGTATTTATTTATCAAGATTCAGTTACAGACACGTGTTTGTCTATCAAATCATGTTTCGCTTCTAACCGTTTTGAAGATTCACTTTCTAATTTCATTGAAGTCCTGTTTCACAATTCACCTTAAAGTGGGCTCTTTTTAGAATAGGGTGTTAAATAAAATAATGCATTACACTACTAATTGGTCAAATTTTCACATTAACTAACAAAAGCATCAGTAACAAATAGATTTATCACTTCTTTGAAAAAGTCAAGAAACATATACAGAAATAGTACTTGTAAAAATAAAAGAGTAAAGATTAGATTGTGCGAGTTTTCTTCTTCGTTTTATTGTGGCCGTTTGATTTTGAAAAAAGACAAGAACAGTTTGCCAGAAACATTCATTATCAAAGTATACAACGTTTATATTTGTAGGCAAACTTCGAGCTGAGACGTCTCATTGTATGATTGAGAAAATAAATTTTATTTCTTCTTTTGAAAATGAATTATTATATTCATTTGTAATTGACTACGCATATCAAAATTTTATGGTTTTTTGATCTAGAAGTTCTAAACCACTTCTGTGTACTTGATCCCACCTTTTCATTTCTTTTTTGTTCTAAACTTACGAGGAAACCTTTCGAGACGTCCCCTTCCGATTTCAATAATTTGTACATGGATCGATAGACGTCAGTGAGGTAGTAAATGCCCTAAAAGGATTCGTGCTCATGATTCTCGACGACCCGGTTTTCTGGGAACCAGTTTTTCAAGAACTCTAAAAGATAATCCAAAACCTTCCTTAATGAGACATAATTGTAGTCCGCACATTTCTTATTAAAATGAGACATCTACCAGCTCTACATGACCTTTCTTTGCAAAGTTATAGAATTTACAAGAAAAGCCCTAGATTAATTTCTTCTTATTTCTGTAGCTTTGAGCGGTCAACATTTATGGCTTTTCTGGTAAATCCTATAACTTTGCAAAGAAAGGTTGTGTGGAGCTGGGAGATGTCTCATTTGAATCAGAAATGTGCGGGCTACAATTATGCCTCATTAAGATGGGTTGTGGTTATTTTTTAGAGTTCTTGAAAAACTGGTTCCACAGAAAACTTCAAGAGAGTTTCTGTTATCTGTTGACTTCGCGGTGTACACCATTTTACTCACTTCACAGTCATGTAATACGTGGTATGTAGTACCTCAGTCAACTAGTATGAGTCAAACTTCATTTTGATCTGATTTTGCTGTTCAACAGATCTATAAGACTCATCTCTTCTACGTCAGAGATGTCGATTTTTTATACTCACCGTCAATAGAAGTTATTATTATAGGTTTCAATAAAGATCTACGTTTTTGCATACTGTACGGTTTGCGTTATCGATTATTCGAAAAATTTTGAATATCTACATATGTTCCATCAATGACAATACAGACTTGATCATCACTATCGGTTACTACTAGTAAGAGGATCAAATTCATTGCCAAGGCATTTTTTGAAATTTCGCTTAATTATTACATTCTCAAAGTTTGTGAATGATCAGCATCCAGCGAGACCTATAATCACACAAAATTTCAAGTCTCCAGGCCTTACGATTCTCGAGTTACAAGGAATAAACTCTTGCAAGTGCAGATGACAATACTTGTTAAACTTTATTGATTATAAGGTTAAAATTATACTAAACTAATGAAAAAACTTTTAGTAACATATTATGCATGAAGTTCTTGTTCGACATTTATGCCATAATTTCGTTCAGGAGTAAAATCCTCAGGTGTATGCCAGTTTAATTCGTCATCAAAATATGTTTCTAACTGGGGTTTTTCAAATATCGGCAATCGAAGGAGAATACCCGTCACCGCTCCACTAGAAATAGCCATTGCTAATGTTAAAATAAGAGCAGCTGTTTGATACCCTGCCTGAACGGCGGCAGAACGATTCATTCCCGTAAGACAATTGTAAGAAAGCTCTTCTTTGTACAATGATTTAGATGGAATGAATGCAAGAACAATACCGCTAATACCGGCAAGAATGCCCGGCATACCGTGGAGATTATTTACCTAGAAAAACAGAAATTGTAAGTGACAATATTTTGACAGATAGCTAGGACGAACCCCACAAGTGTCATGGAGACGAATGCGTTTCAGTAATGGAAGTAACATGTGAAAACCTATTACAGAAAGGACACCGGCGAGTGTTCCAATGACCATGGCACCCCAAAGTCCGATTATTTTGCTTGACAGAGTTCCAACAGCCACTCCGCCTGCCAAAGTTGCATTTTGAATATGGACCATGTCAAGTTTTCCTTTACCAAGAATACTTGAGCAAATGAATGTGGATACCACTGATGCACAAATAGAAATATAAGTATTCACCACCGCTCGCAAACGATTTGGGCCAAAGGCTAAACCAGCATTGAAAGATGGCTGTAAACAGAGAAACAAAAAAAATTGGATAGCACTTTAAAATGTTGTTTATCTCTTTATTCTTGATGTCTTTTAATTGCTCTACTAGTGTAGTATAAGTACGCAGTGATTATTAACAAATCGAGCTCTGACAGCAACGAACTATTGACAGATCTGTTCAAAACAGTTTTTGACAAATTTTTCAACAACATCTGTCAGTCACAGTAAATTAAAACTACGTTTTGGGCTCATCCTCACTTGGACTGCCTACATTATTCCAGTTCTCATACTAGAAATTAAATTCTTTTGTTCAAATCGAGTTGGGCAAGGATGCTTTGCTTTGAACTTTGTTTGCTCAACTCCATATCTCACAGTTACAACTCTCTTGTCCAAATCGGCTTCAATAAAAGAATATAATTTGCAGTATGAGAACTGGAATAAGGTAGCCAGTTCAAGTAAGGATGAGCCTAAAACGTAGTTTTAATTTATTGTAAGTGACATATATTGTTGAAAAATTTATCAAAAACTATTTGAACAGATCTGTCAACAGCTCCTTGTTATCAGGCGCGGTCTATGAATAGAACTATTTTACAGAAGTATTTACTGTGTTTATGATAGCATTGAAGGTTTTCACTGTTGAATAAAAATAGTTTAGCTCTCAGAACTTAAAATAGAATAGGGAATCTTATGAATTCCAAGAGAATCCTATGGAATCCTAGGAAATTCTTGGAATCCAGGAGAATTCAGAATTCTAGGATTCCGTGCTTTCCCCCTTGCGATCAATGCTACAATTACATCTACTGTAGATATTACTTACCCAAAAAACAAATAAAAATATTGTTCCTATCATACTGAATACATCTGAGTGATAACTTGAATTTTCTTTTGTTGATCCAAGAATATCTTCTTTATACAACATAAATGCCACTGTAATACCGAAATAAGCGCCTAAAGCGAAATCAAATGGTCACATACATCTTTCCATAGAGTGAACAACACTCAAATCTAAGTACTGCTTTTTCTTCGTTAACTTTATCACACTATTATGATTATCTTACCAAAAACATGAACAAAGATTGATTCTCCCCCATCAAATGCACAAAATCGTTGAGAACCAATCCATTCATTTATTGTTTGGATAACAACTTCAATTCCTCCCATTACAATCAACTGAGCAGGATTTAATTTGCCTAAAATTCAACATCATCAAAGGAACATAAAAACTGCTGACATGAAATTTTATTTTATTTTTACCTAAAACGGCTCCCATTGATATGAGTACCGATGCTGATACAAAATCCGCAACAATCATACTTTGAACGTCAACAATAAATGACTTTGTTGTCGAATTCCAATCGTAAACATAACCTCTGATGATAATGGCCCATTCAAGAACAAATGCACATAAAATAAAATTAAATCCAACAGATGAAAAACTATATTTTCTCAAAAATGTCATTAGAAAACCAAAACCAATAAACATCATCACATGAATGTCTTGAAACATAGAATAGTAGTATTCGACGATACCACGACTGGGTGCAGTATCCGTCACTTGTGGTAAGGTGATATTTCGTGGATCTAACGGAGCATATCCATAGTCAGCATGAAGACCCAATAGGATAATAAAAATAGTTTGTAAACATAACAATAATATGGGAAATAAATACTTTTGTATCATTTTTTAACTGATAATTTGCAATTGAACTTACAGAAATCGTGCACTACTATATAATCAATTTGTTCGCCGGCTAAAACTATTCAGTACAGTTGAATCTAATTTTTGTATCTTATTCTGGCTTATAATTTATTATAAGTCATTCGTTGATCAACGGACACGATACTTTATAACAATAATATATTAAAGAAAAGTCCGATGCTTTTGAGGAAGACGATAATAACAGAACCAAGTATGCGTTAAATTACTTAACAACAATTTGTTAGAAAAAGTTGTCGATGTTTTACAACTTTGGTCCGTTTTACAACTTGAATCCGTGAAAGCTTTATTAGTTACATTGGTCTTCTATTCATGTTACTATATATATATATGATAAAAATCTACGTTCCAAGTGTCTTTTCTTATCACTAAACAGCAAAATGTTTTCATATCGCTGGCCACTGAGTAAACAATTATTTTACACCTGTTATCTTTTTCACGGTATGTGAAAGTAGTCATAAGAAATTTCTTAAAGATCTATTTTCAATTAGTATTGAGAACTTGGCGGTGAAATAATCTCTCATACTTTCTGGATACTTTATCGGTCGACAGAAGGTTTGTCGTGTTTCTTTCAATTGTACAAATCTTTGGACTGTATTCATTAGATTAAATCAAAGTAAATTCAACAGTGCTAGCTAGATGATCTTTTCAGGGAGTTAGATGTCACTGGCTCTTATAAGAGAGCGATGTGTATTAGAAGTTCACAGAATTATCATTTATATTCAGCAACACTACACACTCTGTTGTTTTTTGAATAACTTTTAATTCATGATACATAATGACCTGTGATATCCAGTATTTGAAAACCTATCGATATTAAATGTGCAAAACCATTTTTACAAAACCTTCTGATTTTTTCATGAAAGGGTGTTCGTTGAATAAAAAAGTAGTATTTCACTCTTCTTGATCCCATAATCATGTTTAGCGAATGAAGGTAATCGAATCCAGTTCTTTAATTCCAGAAAGTCACAAATTCACAAATTAGTTGGATCAGGATGGACTTCTTCAAGTTTCGACAGTTCCACAACAAACATAATCGTTTCTCATTTTAATTTTAGGATTTCTACCGATCATTAACTAACCAACCAGGAAAGAGAAGATGTGTGGGATTCCCTGGGGAATGCTAATAATCACAGATCCGCTTAGATGAACTAGGTCCGAAATTCCTTCGAAAGATCTCGAAACTCCTTGTATTACAAACTACAACGAAGTGGAATTCACAATCCTCGAATCCCAGATCAATTCCGCTAGAGAACTGGAAATTCTTCACAGGGTATCCGTCACCAGCTGGAATTTAAGTGGAAGTCCTACTGTTGCATATGGTTCAATGTTGGATAACGCCTCACTCTCCTCGTCTCATGCCACTCCACGCCGCACCATAGTTACAAACAGGCTTTATACGAGCCGAGTCGGTATTCGGGAATCAGCATGCTGAGTTTCTGAACCTTTAATATGTAGTGTTGGGTAGGGACTTGGAAACATTATACTTGTTCAAAAAGAGAAATTTTAGAATTGATAAAATAGTAACAGCAGCTGCTTTTAACAGGTGTTCTAACGGGTGTTCCAGAATAAATCGGTCACTTAGTATTTTGCTCATATCTTAGTTGAATTGTATCCCCTAAGCTTTGTTGTTTTCTTAAAAGATGTGCCGTAAAATTCTCTACAAAAAATATATTA